TATACTATTTAAATGAACACTGGCCAGACAGTACAATGATCACTAGTATATATGCACCTCATAATAAGGGCTGAAAATATATGAATTTAAAAAACTGAAACACAAGTCTTGGAATAAGTAGATAAATCACTTTGTGTAGCTGGTGATTTTAACACACTCCTCTATGAAACTGATCAACTAAAGCAACAAAAAAGAAAAGGAAAGCTATGGTAGATTTGAATTACACAATTAATAAGCTTGAACACACATATTTCACACCTAATAAATATAGAATGCATATGCTTTTAAAGAACACATGGAACATTCACAAAAGTCAGCAGCGAACTTGGGTGACAAAAGAAGCTTCACTGAATTCCAAGGAACAAACATCACTGCACAGAATACTGCACAGAATACTGCACAGAATATGCTTTCGGACCCCAATACTGTAAAATGAGGAGTTGACAACAAAAGGATGCCTTTCAAAAGCCCCATATACCTGGAAACTAAAAGGAATGCTAATGAATGACTCTTTGGTTAAAGAGGAAATCAAGGGAAAAGTGTGAAATACATAGAAATGAACAAAATGAAAGCACCATAAGTCAAAATTTGTGGGACATAACTGACTTCTTTGGGAGAGATTTATTGCTTTACGTACATTTATCAAAAAGCAAGAAAGAACAAAAACAAATGAGCTAAGCCTGACCTCAGAAAGTTAGCAAAGAAGTGGTTACAGTTGAATAAACTTAGAAAGCTAAGACGAAAAGATACAATTGAATGGAGCAGAAAAACAACAACGAAAAAGAAAATGTGGAAAATGGCAAAACTAAAAGTTTTTACATCTTATAAATTGCTGGCAAAATCTCCAAATTTTAAGAAAAGGAGAGAAGATTTAAATGAAAAAAAGCACAATGAGCAAAAAACAGACAAAATAGAGCTCTTAAAACAATGAAATTACTATCATGATCTAGAATAGGAAAATATTTGAAAATTAGTGCATGGTTAAAAAGATTGTGACAAAGCAAAACTAGTAGAAGAAAAATTGAACAATCATTATTTCAAAAATTAAAATATTAATTATTTGCCAAATCTACATAGCCCAACAAAGCACAAAACAAAAAATATATAGGAGAGCACTATTAAGCTTTGAATAATATATAATTGATCTTGTGCAAATTGTTCCAGAACAAATAACAGAAAGGAAACCGCCACACTTTTTATGAGGCTACTATATATAACCTTGATTCAAACA